CGCTACCAAAACCTTGTCACGCAAACCCAATGCAAACTTTAGGAGATTAAAAGAGGATATGATCTTGAAAAACCTTACAACTTAATTTAGACAAAAAAAATCATTGGAAGGGTGGCCCAGCAAAAGGGAGTGTATGGAAGCTAATTTTGCATGCATGAAATGACCCACTGTGTATATTTTTTAATATCCAGGGATTGAGTAACAGGGAAAGACCTTAGAGCTCAGCATGAGAATAGTGTCAGAAGCAGTGAAGGAGGAGCATTGCAAGTACTCCAGGCAAGGTGGTTGTATCAGGAGATAAGAGACCTGTCATCAGGCATGGCTGTGAGGAGCTATCAGAGGTTGTTTATTTAGATCCAAAAGCTAAAGAATGCAATTATCCACTAACACCAGCAAAGGTGCATCAGGAGAAGAACTAGTCTGGTCAAAGAGATGAGAGCAGACAGCTAGTTGTCAAAAATCTTCACGAAAGAGCTCAACAGTGCGAGGAGTGCCAGGGGCATGTGACATGACAGAGAGAAAGAGAGAAGTGGGAGGAACACAAAGATTCAAATTCTCAAATTCAATTCTCAGGTAGGAAGAAGCTGTGACTATGATATTCACTGTCGAACAAGCAAATGCAACCAGGAGCCAGAAGTAAACACACAAAAAAACTTAGTATTTTGAAACATTCTGGAGTAGCGAGCTTTACCAAGCTCTGAGGTTTTGCTTCAGAGCTCTGAGGATACATGTTAAAAATAAACAAACTTTGTCATTATGAAGTTGCTATAGCATCTCGCTGCTCTCACTGATGAGTGTGCTGTCGTGAATATATTTTTGTGCTCAATAGCTTTCATGTAGGATTTACAACAGCTGAAATAATACATACTTGTTAGCAAGTGCAGACAGTAATCTGCCACATTCGAGAAGAGTTGAAAGTCCAAGTCAATTCCTAATTCCCTCAGGAACTGTCCCCTCCAAAAAGCCACACTCATGGCAGAGCACAGAAGCCTTTGCAAACCTTTTGCCAGGCTTTGATTAGCAGCAAGGCTGAATTAAGTTTGTAGGAGTCTGTTAATGACTCCTGCTTGCTCTCCCACCTGGAAATTTGGGAAAACTAAACAGGCTTTTGCCTCATTTGTCAGCAATGAATCAAGTGAGTTCAACAGTATTTTTACTGAAGGGAGAAGGGGTCAATTGGAAGATAAACTGGATCATCTACAGAAACTAAGTACTCCTTTTCAAAAGTGCAGCCAAAGCTGTTTAAATCTTTCTGTTTCCATGCTAGGGCAGCTGTCTGCTCCCCACCTCCATCAATACTAGCTCATTCACAGCTTGGAGCTGTTAAGACCCAGGGTTAGACAGGTAAGATGTGCCTATTCTGCACAGTTGTAAGGTCTCACCCCAACCACAATTGACCCCATAACGTGAGCTGCCCCACTAGCTAGCTGTGCTAGCTAACCACAGCAGTTACGCTGTCAGGTCCCATCCCTCAGCTATCCTCTCTCTTTACGAAGAGTCCCATCTCACATACTGGGCCACACATAGCTCTCAACCAGACTTTTTAAACAGATTCTCCTATCCTAGCTTTTCCACCTTGTGCTTTTGCACCTCACAATTGTACCTCTTATTCCTCCCCTTTATAGCACACCTACATTTTCAACAAGAATGCCCCAGATAGATACAGTAAAACATGAAATACCAAGCAAGCATATTTTAGACTTGCTTGTTGGTACCTTTCTTTCATTGCCCGTTCTTTTGGCTAGCTGTATACAGCTGTGTACGGCACTCTGCTGTATTCAGGATTGCACCCCTCTGAAGTTCTGGGGAGAGAAGCTGCTTGTCTCTTTTAGGCAGCATGCTGATACTTGGAGTGAAATGGGAGCTCACATACCTGAATTGGCCGCAGCTTTTTCACATGTCCCCTTTTCAGTTTCTGCAGTTACTTGCAAGAAAGGGCATCAGTCCCAAATATTCCACCCCTATGCTTTGTACCATTTGCTTATTTCTCTTACTGTAAAGACTGTCATTACAGTTTGATTTCCCCACTCTAGCAGCTTGAGGGGTTATGAGAGCCTCCCTGCAGTTTGGTCTCAGACTGCAGCTACCTGAGAGACTCTTTATCTCCTGACTCAGCGTAAAGAAAGGCTTATTCCCATTCTAAAGCACAACTTCCTGACCTGCAAAAATGTCCTCAATTTGGATGGACCCATGGTAGACAGGAAGGCTAGCTGAACAAGCTCAGAGAATGAGATGACACTGTAGTAAGATAGTTCTTAACCACATTAAGTATTAGTATTGCAAAGGTCTGTCCTATGCAGCCTAGTAAGTAGCCTCTGAAGTTAAATCTTGTTTTTGTGCAGGTTCTTGGGGAGACAAAGAGAAAAAGCACTGAACATTATCAAACCAAATAGTCTTGTAGCTCAGCAGAACAAGCAGTATGTAGATTTAATTAACTCCTTGGCACTGTCAGTTGTGGCATATCCTGTCATCGTCCATGGGCAGCACACCAAGAAAGCCTGGTTGTTTGGCATCTAGAGGGCTACAGATGGCTGGTAAAACTTCTGTCTGTTCTTGTTTACAGCCAATTTCTGGAGTGCAACAACAAGTGGCAAGACAAGCAAAGGCTTTCCTTTCCCTGGGAAAGATGGCAGAAGTGCAGGTCAGCAGACGGAAATCCAGTGGAGAGAAGTCATGGTTGTGGTTTGCTACAGTGAAGTCTCTGATTGGGAAAGGGGTGATGCTCGCCGTTAATCAAGGCAAAGTGCAAACAAATGTGCTCAACATTGCAAATGAGGACTGCATAAAAGTGGCAGCTGTTCTGAACAACGCCTACTACCTAGAGAACTTGCATTTCACCGTTGAGGGAAAGGACACGCACTATTTTATCAAGACCACCTCCCCTGAGAGTGACCTTGGGACACTGAGGCTGACGAGTGGGCGGAAGGCCCTGGAGAACGGCATCAACGTCACCGTTTCCCAGTCCACCACTGTGGTAAACGGCAGGACTCGTAGGTTTGCTGATGTTGAAATGCAATACGGTGCTTTAGCGCTTCACGTCCGCTATGGCATGACGCTGGACGAGGAAAAGGCCCGAATACTGGAGCAAGCCAGGCAAAGAGCTCTTTCGAGTGCCTGGGCCAGAGAACAACAGAGAGTAAGAGATGGAGAGGAAGGCGCCAGGTTGTGGACAGAAGGAGAAAAGAGGCAGTTGCTAAGTGCTGGAAAGGTACAAGGATATGATGGGTACTATGTACTCTCTGTGGAGCAATATCCAGAATTAGCAGACAGCGCTAACAATATACAGTTCCTCAGACAAAGTGAGATAGGGAAGAGGTAACACACTGGCTTAGCTCAGGCTGCCAAAGAGACTGTGTACCAGTGTCTTCTAAAAAGGAGACCAAACTGTTTTGCTGCATTACTACTTGAGCCTAAGCTTACATCTTTGCTCAGATTTTTTTCTGTAGCACAATCCAAACAGACTCTGTAACAAAAAGAGCGCCTTCCAGAAGAATGATACTGCTAATGACAAAACTTTTTTTTTTCTCAATGACCTTAAAGGTGATCTGCTTTAAAGAATATGTTTACATATGCATATCGCTGCACTCAAGTTGGACTGAAAAGTATTGGAAAAAAAGAAGAAAAAAGGCCTCCAGATTTTGCAACAGGCTGTCTGTTCCTTTGAGGCACTGTATTTAATTAAGATACAGACCCATACAGTGTTTCCAAATATTACTGAATTGTTGACCTTTGCTTATGAGAAGTAGTCTCTCTCTTTCTCTCTTTTTCTCACTGCATAGGATGTGGTATATATCTGTTAATTTTAAAACGTGGGGCAAAAATTACTGTTTATAGACAACCCAACTGCTTTAAACTGTGCTGCTTTCTAAAAGGACATTGGCACAAGTGACTTATGCTACCATGGGAATTTAATAATGAATTTTACAATGCTAACATGGTTTGCCTTGGGGGGAAAATGGCAAGTAGAATCCTTGTTGCAGATAAGCAAAGGAAACCCTGATTTTTTTGTAAATTATGTGAGACAAGTTGTTTATGGATTTTTATATGAATTACAATTTACTGTACATCAAATATTAGTCTCAGAGGAGTTAATTTATGTAAAGTGTTTAAAAAAGTTTATACTTAAAAATAAAATGATAAAAACATGTGCTGTGTGTGATTTTTTTAAAGAAAAAGGAATTGCACCTTTTATGTTATAGCTGTACAGTATAAAGGATTATATTGTAGAGATATAACAGTGATGACTAATGTCCAAAAGTGTTAATATTTTTGTATTAGGTTTAAAGCTGTGCATCTATCACTCTGAGATAGGATGGGACACTCCAAAGTGGCTGGCTGAATCAGACCGCAGCTCCCTCTCCTCCCATACCTCTCCTGTCACCCAGGCCAGTGCCACTTCATCAGTCATTGTTAGAAGGCACAGTAACCAAATAAGTCTCGTTTATTATGATGGAAGACTTTAATAGGTTGGGTTTTCCTTGTCTTTTTCCAGCCCTAACGTAATAAATGGACATTTATTCATACCAGGTGGGGTTTCTGTTGTTTTTTTAGAAGCTTTGTTTCACAATGGAGAGAATAGTGTCTCAGGTGCTTGGCAAATTGTATGTAGAAGAAGAAGAAGAAATTATGTAGTTTCATCCAGTTATGTCAACTCTGTCTTCTGTATAATACAGCTCTTTTAGATGTTATAACTCCAGATAGAAGAAGCGTACCTCTGACCTGATGCTACAGAATTGCTCTTTAGGCAGGCAGGCTGTTCCGTAGATTCATCTCCTGGCCTTCAGCTGGCAGATCACATCCCGTTACTGTGAGCACTGAACCTGGGGATGGAGAGGAGGGTCCGATTCTAGTGCCTAGTCTGCATCTCCACACCACTGCATAGATTTGGCATGCTCTGCTCCAAGGCCCAGTGTATTTGCTGCAGGACAGAACTGAAGTGTGCAGCTGGTTCCTTATAGGAAGCCTGTGGTGGCATCTATGGCATCTGTTCTACATCTTGGCTGAAACCATTCTTAGAGCTTTACTCTCATGAGCACTAAATTCAGCCACAAAAATAAATATTTTTAAGATGAGACAAAATTGGGGGTTTTTGATGTTCATTGAAATATACACAGTATTTCTATCCATGTATTATAATGACAAAACATAGTAAGTGAACGTGTCTTAACTATGAATGGTTCAAGTGGATGTAATAAAAAATAGTTTTCTAACTGCTTTGTATTCTGAGAGTCTATGGTATTACATACTCTAAATTGCACATTAGGATTGTTTGATAAACAGATTTGAATTTCTCCCAGCCAAGTTGCTACCGAATCTACAGTATCAGTGCTATTACTGTATGTGTGTATTTGGTAGAGCATACAGAACTAATTACACATATAATGAATGCTAATCATCTATTAGAATGAAAGCACAGATTAGTTGTTAGTATTTTTACCCTTGAAGTCTTGAGGGCCCTAAATTTAGAGAGGATGATATGTCAGACCCCAGAGGCGTGTCATTGATCTACGTATTCTTTTTAAAGATGTAAAATGCTAGGTGTTTGCAGTTCTGTTGGGTGGCTCTTCCACAGCACTGTATTTAGCATGCTGTAAGTGCTCTCTGTTGAAATAGGCTCATATTCTAAATCATGTCAAATGTTTCTGTTCTGTTTGAATATGAAAAGCTTGTATAACATGTCAACAATGAAATATATCTTCTACTTGACGCGTACCAGTTCCTTCTCCTTTGTTCTGGCACCAATAAACAACAAATTATCGTATCTGTTGGTGATCATTTTAGATAAAGTCAAATCAAGCCAATTAGTGGCCTTGTTAGTAGGTATAATGAGCCTATTTCTTGCTAAAAAAGACTTGTGATCTGGACATGCTCCTGCAGGAAATAGTGACCTTGGGGAATATATACAAAAAAAGATCTTTTTAAAGAAAAAAATACGTATAATTAAAAAAGCATATTACAAAAAAAAAAAAGGAGATTCTAAGTATTTTAGGCAATGCCAGTCAAAATGCTATCCTGATATTTTGAGATGTATATTTCGTCTGATTTGTATTGTTCTTTTAATTTGCCTTCTTAACTTTATATGTGTCCTGAATTTTCCACAAATTGATAACTATAGATTGCATCTAGGCTTTCCAATAAAAGCCAACCCAATGTGTGTTGCGTGTGTGTTTATATTTGTTTTTTAAATCTGTATGTCAGATACTGCATCTGTGCTATTGCTTTTCTCATCGTATCGGAAGAAGCAAACTGATCCAGTGGCACTGGTATTGATTCATTTGCTTCACAGTTGGCAGTATCTTTTTTGACTCTGTCCAATGGCCTCATCTGCTAACTCAGCAAAGTGAATTACTCCATGGGATCTCTCAGGTGGCCTACTTCAGAGAAAACATTAAACATACCTCACAAAGCCAAATCTTTTCTAGATAAGGAAAAGCCAAAGAACAAAAACAACAAAAAAAGAAGTATCACTTAGAACTGTTTTCTCTCCCATCCTCCTGAGGAAAAACACAACAAGTATTTGATTATTAATAATTAGGTTGGCACTGGTAGTTACATATATACACAGAAGAGATCCTTCAATCTGCATTTAGACCCATTTTGCAGAAACTGCTGACTTCAGCACTGCTATATGTCAAGAGACTGCTTTGATTTTAGTTGGAACAGGCAGACTTCACCACACTTACTTTGTACTGACAACCTCAAGTTGATAACATGTTGATCCAGCACGAATCAGGTCACTCTGCTTAGCTAACTGGCCTAATTTTGTTATTAAAAAAAAAAAAAAAACCAAACAGTAAGAGAGCTTTCCATGTTCACACTTGGGAGGTGAGAGATTTGCATTTCACAAGGGAAAAAAAAAATGCCACTTACCACTGCCACTCTTCAGAGGCACTTTTAAAGTGATGGCTGAAAGACTGTAAAAGAAAAAACACTGCATAAAGTAACAGTTTAAAATGATTGTCTACAAGATAATAGGCTGCAGTCACACAGAATCTGAGATGACAAAATGTTTGAATTCTGTTTTCAGAAAAAAAAAAAATTTCTAAAAGTGCTAGTACCGTGGTTTACTGCTAACTCCAGAGCGGCAAGCTTGAGAACCTTTAAGAAAAAGAGGAAGAGACTAGTGTGTAATTCTTTGGGGATGGGAAATGCAAAGCAAAGACACTTATTAGAAACAACTTCTAAGTAGCTTATTAGAAGCTGCTTATTTGACACTTACTAGAAGCTGCCAGGGTTAAAAATAAGCCAAAGCAGAGAGCATCACACAGCATAAACAGAACAGCACAGGCACAGTGAAATACTCCTAACTGCAAAGCCACATCCAAACCGACCAGACTGATCAGCTTCTCATCTACAGCCAATTACTGCTAAGGACTAAATATGCAATGCTTATAAAATTAAATTGATCTTTGACTGCACACACAAGTTGCTGGGGCTCAGTGAGGCAAAAAAAAAAAGCCAAAATGAAAACCAGTTAATTGGTAGGTGCCAATTTTTTCCCCCTGGGAGAAAAAGAACACATGGTCTATAGCTGTCATGCTGACAGGCTGAGCTTAAGACTAATTTTTCCTCTGAAGTTTTTAGCTTTGTGACCATATGAGGTAAATTTAACTGTCTAAGTGCCTAGGCTAGACCTATATAAAAAAAGTCAAAACACTAAATAGATAATGCCCTGCTCATCCCACCTAGCCCATTTTTCAACAGGAGTAATGTAAATAAGGATGCCAGTACTTAAACCATTTTTAAACCAGTACCACCAAAATCTGAAAAAAATGCAGCTTGTCTGTTCATCCGTCCCAGAAACCTGAGTATTTGCTGCAGATCACTAAAAATGTTACAGGCCTTTCAGGGTGAAAACACAGTGGAAAGGTTTGCTTCTCACGCCACCTCCTAATTGCAGGATAAACGATTGGCTACTGCAGTTGGCACTGTGAGCGAGGGTGCCGGAGGAACAAGAACATGCTGTCTGACACTCATAGATTCTGCCCTGCTTTAGTAAGGGGAAGTGCTGGGGAGGGAGGGGGAAAGGGAGGTGGCCTGTCATTAGGTGGTCTAAATGCAACAGTGAGAGTGAACTTGCACAGTATCGCACGAAAACTGGCATGAGGATTATCTTAACCACACTATTCTTTGTACACATGCCTTAAAAAAAAAATCCTGGCCTGGTTTCTAGCATCACAAGTGCACACAATTCTGAGCTGTGCAAGGATGGCATAAAACACATTCCTAAATAGATAAATATGCTGAATATTGTTTCTGACTTCTAAACAAAGCAAGCTAAACAGCAACACCATCCCTTTCTTGAAGTACATAAGAGTCTTTTGTGCAATTTGGAAGGTGAAGAACAAGCACAGTAGCGTGGCAGCTCATTAGAGTGTCATGTTTTCACAGAACCTATTTTATTGCATTTAGTAGTTCTGCAGGTAAACTCTCTTGCTGTTAATTACTATAACTTCCTAGTAAATTAAAAGGTTTACTCAATTTACCTAAGTTAAAATTCTGTCATTGAGGAACATAAATTTCTAAAGACGCATACGGGTTTTTTTCCATACTATAAACTAAGTCCAAGCTCATAGTAACACAATTATGCAGCTTAGAGTTAATGGTTCCCACAAAGCTGTCTTAATAAAGCCTTTTGGGATTCAGGAGGAAAAGGAGGAAATTCAGAAACTAAGAACAGGGCTGGAAGGCAAAAACATGTTTCAGCTAGCTCTAGTTACTCAATCACACTTAAGCTGTCTGAGGCAGCAGGGAGAGCGCTGTGCATTAGAGAGGCACGCGGGAAATTGGTATCCCAACACAATGAAGTATTTCCACATTCCAAGCCTAGGAATCGTTTTTAAACTGAAATTACAGGAATGGCTATCTAATGAACCGTTTCACCTTACATCAATTTAAAAACAAAAAAAGAACAGTATAGGGAAAACTAATGCAGGAATCAGTTAAGAATTAAAATCTGAGAGTAACTATACGCATATGATGCTGAAGAAAAGTCTATCCAGTGTTTACTCACAAGAATTACTGGGGAAAAAATGGGATGGGGCGAGGGGGGGGACGCAGGGGGTGTACAAGACCGTAATACTAGGACCAGGTGTTTGTCACCATTTTCCACGATGGGGAAGCACATATAAAAAAAATTAGTGAC